ATGATTTTTTCTGTTTCCCAGCAAATTTATCTTTTTCATATTCTGTTGAGATACATGTGAGAAGATTCAGAAAAGAAGTCAAATCCACAACTTAATTCCTTTATTAAGATGATCTCTAGACAAAAGCAAAGCCCTGCACTCTTCTACTATAATGCACAAAATGAGCCTCACCTTCTTACAAATTACAGTTTCTTCTTGTCATTTATTGTAAAGAGGACATCCCAATCTAAAAATGTTCCTGATTGCAGATAAATGTATCCATTTAATAAAAGCCTTTCAAAGTCAATATATATCTATCACACATGAATATACAACTACCTATGTCATGAAATGTTTCAGACCTTGCAAAATTATGTAATAATGTATTAATGCAATAATATAATAAATACCAATATTCTGAACTGGTTCCAAGTGTTTATGTTGATATATTAACAAACGCACACAATGTTAAACAAATGCTTATCCAACAAACTATACCCATACTGGATACAGGGAATATGTTAGTTTTATAGTATTATTTATCAGGCTAGAGCTTTTAAAATGCACTTAGTTTACAACATTATCAAAAGATATTCTCATAGCTTCTTTCTTAAGTATAACGTTACGTATTCTGAAGCAAATCTGTGAAGAAAATTATTTCATTTCTGCTTAGCAAGAGAATTCCTGGGTTTTAAATTATGTCACTATAATTCTGCTTCAGAGGCTCAGAGGTGTATGAATTTATATGAGAAGTTGGCACCACGATCAGGGGGATGAAGTACTTAAAGAAGTAATCCTACCTGAAATTAAAGTGATAGCAGGCATGCAAGGCTTGCTTCTCAGTGACAGAATTGAAACAGTTCAGTATTAGATTGGGAGCTAGTATTTGCGCATATTTTTCACTTATGGAAAATAAAAATATATTAACTGGCTCTAGCAGACTTAACTCTAAAATATGTGGCAAGGTTTCTTAGCTAATATATTTGCTGTGAAAATTGTTTCAAAAGTTATATATTTTTGTTTCTCTCTAACATTATTATATTTCAGGCATTAAACTATGAGATAAATGAAAATAAAACAAACAAATCGAGAGTAATGAAATTATATACGCCATTTCCCAAAAGCACAACTACATCAAACAACATAAAATACAAAAGGTCGATAAAATTCATTGAAATAAAAGATATGCATGTTGTACCTAGTATTTCAATTAAAATATTTGACATAATAAAAAATTTCCCTTCATAGTAAAATTACTAACTAAATTAAGCATGCATTATTACTTTGAATTCTATCTTGATACATTACTTTAAATTTTGTCCTCTATTTTACTTTTATTAATATTCTCAAAATTTCAAGTATCCTTTTTTTTCCTGTCAATGTAACCCAGTCTCCTAGGCTTTGCATGGGATCCAATGCATAAAAATTTCTGTGACCAGCATTGTGTCAGAATGGTTATTTCAAACAATCCAAACCAATGGCACTGAAATCTATACTTGTTTCCATTAAGAAAAACTGTTTCTCACTGTTAGGCATGTTGTAAAGATGAACATCTGCTCCAGTTGCTGCTGAGACCCTGAAACATTTGAGGATTGCTAGTGTTAGGAAATGAGAACTGCAAGTGATATCGAGAGATGCAAACAGAATGGTTGTGGGCAGCTCTGTTTGAAACCCCACCTTAGCGTATCAGTAATTTCTCCCCACTACATTTTAGTAACATGAGCCAGTCACCATTACTACTTTTGGTTTAGCTGAAGCTGGTTTGCTTAGGGAGGCCCTCATTAAGAATCAATAATTTTCAGTTAGTAATCTTGTGCTTACATGGCATCATACACCAGTTGTTAAATTTTCAAAATAATGCTGTGCTATACACAGGTGTGTTATATAATTGAGACTTGATTGATAACTACATAGTTTAAAACTGGAAAATATATGTTAGAAAATATCTGAATAACACCCTTAGGCTCACAACTGGTGATTAGTGCTAGCAAAACATATGAGATACTTATGCCTACTGGGCCAACTGTTAAAAAATATACTGCAAGTGTTAATGAAACAACTGATATTGTACTGAAGGTATGTTATGATGAAGGAAAACCACAATTTTAAGGAAAAAAAATCATGTGGCTTCACATAAAAGAGAAAGTATTACATATATGGCTTTAAAAGAAGATATGGTCACTAATTTACTTTTGACACAACTGGGGATTCTGGCAGGACACCTGGAGAGACGACTCAATAGCACCTTTCAGCACTGGACATCTATATACAGGGTCATCCATAATGCTAACAGGTGAAAATGAGGCAACAGCAGAATTATCTTTTTGTGAAGTAAAACACCACACCTCATAGTGAGAGTCAAGAGGTAACCATAATTGACAGATGGAGAAACTGAAGCGCAAACAGGTCCACAAGCAAACCAGATTCAACCAGTCTTTATGATGCAGAAAAGTAACCACCAATGAAATCTATGTGAGTTAATAATATTGTTGTCAAAGAGCATTTAAATAGGAATGTGGATCCTAAGACAACAGAGGAGTCTCAGGCTGAACAGAAAGAAGAGGATGTTAGTAATACCAACACACACACACACACACACACATACCACACACACACCACACATACACACCACAAACACACTACACACACAACACACACACACAACACACACACACAACACAAACACACTACACACAAAACACACACAACACAAACACACTACACACAAAACACACACACATAACACACACACAACACACACACACACACACACACACCCCAAAATAAAAAATAAGACTTTATGAATCAGCTAAAGACTAGGGTGGAAAGACATGTAGGTCATTAGCTATTAATCACTTTTGTTCTAAGTTCTTGAAATATACTCAAAAGTTTAAGACTCAAGCTAAAACTATATGGAGACTTGAGTAAACTTACAAACATACTGCAGAATACATTTGAGCTTTCTAATGCAACTCATTGGGCACATATGAGAAGTAATTTTCTTCCTATTAGACAAAAGATGACTATGGGCTCCTAAAACTTAAACTACATTATGGGCAGTTAAATGGTTTTCACTTTCAGACTGCATTAAAACTGAATTACAACCACTACTTTCTGGTATTTCTTTCCTCTATAATGAGAATATTAATAGTAAAAATTTTCATGCAATCAAATACATGAATTGCTCCATTTCATTCAGTATTATTAAATATAACATTAAGAGATTTTTGCTAATTGATTTCACAAACAGTATCACAAATAGGATTACTGTCTTGGGAGCACATCACCAGGTAGAAAAGCAGGCACAAAGCAAGCAAACACATAGCAGTGCAACAAGCAGGTCTGTTTGGTATACGCTAAGACCGCTTCCCTTGAGAATGTGATGGACCACTAACAAACACAAGGAACATCCAAATCCCATCACATACCACACACCATCATGCAAAACAAAGTGCCTCAGGTCACCACATGTCACCCAAATCACCACACATCACACAGCACTACGTCACATATCACATGTCACACATTAACACATATCACCCCACATATTACCACATAGCACCATATAGCACAGCATACAATGCATATGACACAGCATCACATCATATTATTTACCACCATATACCACACAGAATCTCATATCATCTATCATCACATATCATATGACATGACATCTCACATAGAACTACACCTGACACAGCGCCACATATCACACATCAACAAATATCATGCATCAACACATATCTCCACATTTCAATAGCACCACATGGCAGCACACATAATACACCACCACATATCTCCTTGCATCCCGTATCATCACAAGTAACACAGCACATCTCACCACACCACCGATATCATCACATGTTACATATCTCATACTATCACATATAATTTCTACCTGCTTTACATAATCACATATTACAATACAGATCACATATGTTCTTCATTCATAGGCCTTATATTATAATCATATCTTCTCTGGGAAATCAACACCAAATTGTCCATCTTATTAATACAATATTTCATTAAAATGTCTGTGATTTCATATTTAATGTGTATGTATATTTGTTATTATGAATTTTATACATCTTTAGCAATTATGAGGATACAAGTCTTTCATTTATTTAATGTATAAAATCAAATTTAGCTTTCAGTGCGAGCCAGTGTTTAAAGGAAAATGTATAAACTATAAGTATATGACTACACTCTTTAAATATTCTTTTTGAGCACACACACATATTTGGAAAAACGCACGACTATATCATCTTCCACCTTTCCAGATTCTGATAAAATAAATGTGCACATGGCAACCAGAACACAGATCAAGGAAGGCAAAAAACAAACTGTTAGCAAACAAACCTCTGTGCTTCTTACCAGGCAATATCATGTGACACAACAAACGTCAATACTGTAAAGTTGTAGTATATGCTAACTTACTGAAAACTGTGAAAAAGTAGCTTGCACTCTTTGTAAAACCCAAGACAACTTTAAAACCAAGTTTATATTAAGAACTGACTTCAGAGGTGAATAAAGGACTCAGCGGTTGAGTGTCTACCTTTTCTTCCAGAGGACCTAGGCACATTTCCCAGCAGCCACATCTTCAGCTGACAACCACTAGGGGATCCGACACTCTCTTTTTGCCCTACCATACTCATACACACAAGGGCACACACACACATTTACATAGAAAACAGCAAACAAAAATACACACTGATTGCATTTCATACTATGATCCTACAACTCTTATATCACTAAGACCAACATGCACACAAACACAGTATTAGCTTCTCAGGTTGCTGACCTACAACAAGACACCAAAATAAGACTTAAATGACATAAGTCAGGTAACCAAGGCAGCAGGTGGTTATGAATTGTCAAACTGGATTAATTGTGAACAAAACATATTTTTACCCATCTATAAACTGTCACTTTCATCACATTCTGGGGTGTCTGGACAGCCAGGTATACTTTAAGGTACTTGGAAGACATCTCACAGCCTGAATTCTTAAATGACAACTTACTGTTTGGAAGGCTCAGGACATTTTGGTTCTTCTAGCTTCTTCATTTCTCTTGTTGGGTCCACAGGGCTGAGAAGGACAGCTGCGCATGACATTACAGAATGGCAAGAATCTTCCCGGCAAACTGTGGTTTGAAAACAATTAATTATAAATATTAAAATCACCCAGTGCCTGTGCTCATATTCCTCATTTCACTTTTATGTCTTCAGTGAAGCTCAGTAATAATTTCAATAAAAACATGAATTAGGTTATCCTCAGTTTTCTTTTGCACAATATTTTTCACTAACTAGCTGTACATCCCTGGACAATTTTATTTAGCACTGTAGTCATAGTGGTAACATTTAGCAGCCAAGAGACAAGTTGTTTTTTGAATGGAAAATAACAAGTGTATATTATGGCACCTGTAGCTTATAAATTTTCACAAGGAGAATTCACTTGCTTCATCAAGACCAATCTAAGGAAAATCATACATTACCATGCACCTAAATACCTGTGGTCTCCTTCATGTCTTGCTACAGCCTCAAGTTCACCAATGACTATCATAATATACCATGAAGAGGCTTGCATTTCTGACCTTTCTGTAATGAAGTCATTAGCTTTATGATCATTTTGGAAAGGATGGCTTACTTTGTTCCATGTGAATGTCTAAGATGAGTCCACAAAATGTACTGTACTGCTGGTTTATTCTTGTAACAATGTACCTTTCCCTTAAATAAAAAAAACTAAGTTGTTTTTATTTTTTAAATAGCAATAGACACAGTTCCAGTTGGGGGTTGTTTCTATTATCTATAAAGATCCTTGCTTTTTTTTTTGGTTACTTATAAATAGAGATTTGTTCTTGAAAGTCTTCTCAAAGCTATAATTGTTCTTAGCCTATGTCATGGACTGTATTCTCAATAGTAGATACCAGTGAACAGTTCTCTGTCCTGACTGCTTTACTTTTCCCTAAACAGATGTTTCAATTGTCTCACACTCATAAAACACTTGATTTCACAAGTTTTCCCATTGATGGTTTCATATTCTATGATACTATATCACTTCATGAAAAATCCACACAAACTCCGTTTAAAATAACACTAACACTCATTATCTCAAAGTTCTGTAGGTTGTAAATCTGTGTGGGTGAGCTTAAAACACATCTCCTCTTAAGGCCTCAATAGGCAAATGCTAATGTTCTAATCTGTCTGCACTCCTATCCCAAGTTTCCATGAGCCAAGCAGTGTGGCTCAAGGAGTGACCTGGGGATGGGGGCATTCCCGTTACTACCTCTTATACCTCATCTTGAAATGTACCCAATAACCTGTTTATCCATTTAAAAAATCTATGTGTAAATAATCCACTGACAAATTAATTCAGGGTTTCAGCAATTGTCATTGCTTGTCAACTTGACAAGATCCAGAACCCTGTACCAGACAAACCTCTAAGCATGCCTGCTAGGGATTGCATTGTCAGATGAACTGAGGTGGACAGCACAATAACATGGCTGGAGTTTTGGACTGCACTAAAAGGAGAAGGTGAGTTGAACATAAGACTTCATCCATCTCTCTCTGTTTCTTGGCTGTGGAAACAGCACAGCCTCATGATCAGGCTGTCGTGGACTATGAAAGAATCCTTGGAGCTAAATAAATTTTGTCTTCCTGAAGCTGACAGCAATCACCCCAAAATCATTGTTCAATTGCTGCTAACATGATGTATCAACTTTAATTGTATAAAGTATAACTGTTCCTAATTCTCTTCAGTCTACAATCCACTATGTTGATTCATATCATAATCAATGGCACATGTGTGCACTTTTTCAGAATCTGATGATTGCTGATCACTGGAACGTGCTCTTGAGCACAAGTTGTTAATGAACCCATGCAGCCTTTTCAAAATGCAGATAATCTAAAGGGATAGATTTGCCAGGAAAAATGAAAGTATGGGACAAAAATGAATACTGATGGAAGTGGAAGGATATTTGAATCGAATGAAAAGGCTGTTACTCAATTGATACATTCATTTCAAGAACTAAGTGATGACAGCACAAATTGGCCTCTTACTCAATGTAGCAAGAGAAGCAAATAAGAAAGAGAAAACATGAGAGTGAAAGCACCACAGAAAGAATAAGGAAATGCATGATCCCAAACAGAAACTCCCATAGGAACCTGGCGCAGGTTTCTTCACCTTCTCCTTAAAATACTGCCTGAAAGTGTGACATAAGTGACAGAATCTTGGTATTTAAAAGAAATGAAACTACACTCAGCTTTCAGTATTGTATGACTTGGTTCTTGGTTATTACAACAAAGACAAACCAACATACAGAGGAAAGCATTTATTAGACTTACAGGTTACAGTCCATCATTTAGGGAAGCCAATGCAGAAACTGAAACAGAGACCATGGAGGCAGGTCTCTGGAAATGGAATCAGAGACGATGATGGAACACTGCATACTGACCTGTGCCCTGTGGCTTGCTTAGCACTTTCTTATACAACCCATGGCTACCCGCCCAGTAGTGGTACAGCCCATAGAGAGCATCTATCTATTAGAAATCAAGACATGCCCCCACTGACATGCCCTACACAACAGGCTGGCAGAGGCAAACCTTCAACTGAGGCTCTTGATTCCCAAGTGAATGTGGTTTGTGAAAAGTTGATGAAAACTAGCTAACCCAAGTACCCTTAAATTTCAGTTATCATGCTACACAAAATTAGTGTGACTAATTCAAATCGTACAAATAAGTAATAGAGAAACAATAACATTTCAAAACAGAAAATAAACCACCACTCTGTTCCAAAAGCAGAAATTGAGAAATAACAGAGTCCTTAGCAACCATCACAGGCAGGAGATGTCCCCCAGACAAATGGAGCAATGGATATTAACATGATAACAATATTCCAGCAAAAGACACTCTTCCAAGCCCATGCGGATAGTTAAAATGCAGATCAGTATCTTGTACTGATCATGATGTAAGCTCTGCTATGTTGGAATTGAATTTGCATACCAGTTGTAAATTATCTTGAATTTTATCACCCACAAAAGTAAAGGTGAAAATTTTTCAGAATAAATGAATATAAGTAAATGGAAAAGCACATTTTTCTTAAAGTATGCCTTAATGATACAGATTAAAATCAAAGTTCATAAAAATTCCCAGTATTTATGGGGCAAATCATATGATTTTACAGAAGATGATGAATGACTATTTGGCATTTTTCACTTAAAAAACTTTACAAAACAACATGGATGTTGGTGGTATCTGGACAATTTACATTTAATAATAAAACGTATCTAGTATTTCTGATACATCTTATAAATAAATACTTGAGGTTAAAAAATTTTAAATGTGGTTACAACAGGTAACTGAAATTATTTATGGATTCACACATAACAGGCTTTAACTAATCATAAATTAAAATCAACAGCAACATTAGGAAGGCGACCACTGCTCAAGATGTTTGTGCAGAGTGGTTTCCATGTCCTTATCAACAGAGATCCCATCAACAGACTAAGAGCAACAGATTTTTGGCTGTCTACTGCTGTGTCCACCTTAATGCGCTGAGTAGCTCCATTTCCTTCCTCCATTAAAACCTGTTTTGTATGTTCTTCCAGTTTACATGTGGTTCTTTGTAAGCAAAGACACCATTGAGGGGGTGTCCCAAATCTCCATATGGTTCACCCAGTGACAAAGGCCAGTACTCTAGTAACAGTGCTAAGCCCTCCGTTTAAAATGACTTATAATTTCATATATTATTGCACAGAGAACAAGCCAAGGATGATATGATATTTAATTTAGAAAAATGTGAATTGCAAAGTAACCTGTAACCGGTGCTGTTGTTTCTTCTGCCACCAGTATTCTGTACTCAGGAGCACAGTGGTTATAAATGAAACCTGAACAAGGGGGAGCTCATGGACCCCAGACTGATAGCTAGGAAACCAGCATAGGACCAAACCAGACCCCCTGAACGTGGGTGTCAGTTAGGCAGTCTGGGCAATCTATGAGGCCTCTAGTAATGGATCAGTATTTATCCCTAGTATACGAATTGACTTTGAGGGCCCATTCCACATAGAAGGATACTCTCTCAACCTAGACACACAGAGGAGGGATGTAGGCCCTGCTTCAAATGATATGACAGACTTTGAAGATCTCCCATGGAATACCTCCCCCTCGCTGGGGAGCAGAAAGGGGATGGGAGAAGGGGAGGGAAAGGGAACTGGGATTGACATGTAAAACAAGTTTATTTCTAATATAAATTTAAAAAAGGAAAAAAAATAAATGCCAAGTCCTCAACTTTTGTCTACTGTATCAATGGAACAATATGTACATATGTTTTATTTACTTATAGACAGGAAATCATGTATCTCAATCTGACCTCAAACTCCCTAAGTTATTGAAGATGACCTTGAATGCCTATAACCACTAAGGAAATAGAAACTGTCATTAAAATTCTCCCAACAATCCAACCAATACCAAGACTATCTAAGAAGAGTTAACACCATAATCTCCAAATTATTTCACATAACAGAAACATAAGCAACAGTGCCAAGAAGACACAGTTACCCTGATACCCAAACCACATAAAGAATCAACAAAGAAACAGAGTGACAGACTAGTTTCCCTCATGAACATAAATGCAAAAATACTTAATAAAATACTGGCAAATTAAATCCAAGAACACATTAAAAAGATCATCTACCATCTTCATCCCAGAGATACAGGGATGATTCAACATATGAAACCTGTCAATGTAATCCATTATAAAAACAAACTGAAAGAAAAAAAATCACCTCATTAGATGCTGAAAAAGCCTTTGACAAAATCCAATGCCCATTCATGATAAAAGTCCTGGAGAGAATAGGGATTTGAGGGACATACCTAAATACAATAAAGGCAATTTACATCAAGCCTATAGACAACATCAAATTAAATGGAGAAAAATGCAAAATCAATTTCAATAAAATAGGGAGTAAGAAAAGATTGTCCACTCTTTTCATATCTATTAAACATAGTACTTAAAGTTCTAACTAGAAAAATAAGACAACTGAATGAGTCCTAGAGGGGACACAAATTACAAAGGAAGAAGTCAAAACATTGTAATTTCTAGATGATATGATAATATACGTAAGTGACCAAAAAATTCCACTATAGA